TGTGGTTTACTTGAAACTTGGTATTTATGGTGTGAGATAAAGTTTTCACTTAATTTTATTCCAAACAGATGATTTGTGGCCATCAATATATTTCTTGCTGGTAAGCATAACCTAACCTCCTTTGGAATGTCACTTACAGGCTGGAGGAATGGCTCAGTAATTAAAAACACTTGCCACTCTTCTAGAGGACCTAAGATCAGTCCCTAGCACCCGTTTTGAGTGGCTTATAACCAGCTACAGCTAACTCAGCTCCAGGGGATCCAACAACCTCTTCTGGCCTCTGCGGGCACTGCACACACATGTAGGCAGCATGGTGGTGAATAGTTTTAGAATATCCCTAACCTTAGCTTCATCTCTGTACATACACATCTGATGGAGAGTGTAACCTCCATCCTACTGCCTATTCTGGTTGCCACTTGAACACCATTCCATTTCTGTCATAGTCACACTCTACCTATTTACTTAGTATTTTAGTGTGGTGCATGTTTTTACATTTATTTATTGATTGGAGGAGGCATGTGTGAAGGTCAGAGGGTACTTTTCAGGATTGGTTCTCTTCCACTGTGTGTGTGTGTGTGTGTGTGTGTGTGTGTGTGTGTGTGTGTCTTCTAGGAATTGGACTCTGGTCATCAGGCTTGGTAGCAAGCAACTTTACATACTGAGCTATCTCTACAACTCTAGAACTAAATACTTACTTTAGCCTCATCCCAGCCATGTAAAATCATGATCTATTAGTTACTTTTCTGTTGCTGTGATTAAAATACTATGACCAAGGCTACTTGTAAAAGGAAGGGTTTATTTGGGCTTATTGTTCCAGAGGAATTAAGAGTTCATCATCGTCCTGGCAGGGAAGCATAGCAATAGGCAGGCATGACAGCTGGACTAGCAAACTGAGAGCTCACATCTTGAACTGCAACCACTAGGCAGAATGCATGTCCTAGGAATTCTCAGTGGCTTTTGAAAGCTCAAAGCCCAGTGACATACTTTCTCCAGCAAGGCCACACCTCATAAACTTTCCCAAACAATGCCACCACTGAGGGTGGCAGTGCTCCTCCTAGACCCTGAAGGAAGAGAAGAGTGTGCCCAGGTGTGGCTTGACCTCCTGGTGTTCAGGCTCAGAAGCTTCAGGGTGACTCAGGGAGCTGCTCAGGAAAGGTGTGAAGCCTACATTACCAGGTATAAGCACCCTCCCTCCTGCCTGTCTCTGCAGATAGATAGCCTGGTCAGACCTCCACTTTTGCAGATGGGCTCTCTGGGAGTGGGAAGGAAGTCTTTGGTCTGATCTCACCATTAATAATAGGGAAGCTGAGCAGAGAGAACCATCCCCTTCATAAGGTTTCCATATTCTTCTGGAATATGGAAAGTATTGGACCAAGAGTGCTAAGTGGTCCCAAGAAGCCCATGGTTCCTACAACACGCCAATAGCAAGACCTTCATCCGTCAGACATACTTGGTTCTGGGCCTGGGTGGGACCTGGGCTAGCAGGGTTCAGTTCCCTCTGAGTGGCAATGTCCTTCCCCCACACCATCCTGTCCCCTCCTCAACTTGCCTGCTTCCAGGACTGCCTGCACATGAAGATGTGATCAGAGCCAACACATACCTTGAAGGTTGGACATCCATTGGGGCAACTGTTCCATTGAGCTACATCTCTAGACTCTTCTTGTTGCTGTTGCTGTTGCTGTTATTGTTTGTTGAGAAAGGCTCTCACTATGTAGTCTAGGCTAGCCTTGAGCTTGCAGTCTTCCTGTTAACACCTCCCAGGGGTGGGATTACAGGAGTGTGCTACCACTCTTGGCATAATTGATGTTCCTAGGGTTTATTGAACACCAACAGAGGGACCTTCAGGGAGTTATTTAAAACTTGCTCCTCATCTATAATGTGAGAATGTCAGTTCCATCTCCATAGAGACACTGGGAGGGTTCAAACTTAAGACCAACACCAGGCCCAGGGGAGGGGCTGAAGAAACACCCTGACCCCTTTATTCTCACTGTTGCTTGTTTACATGTGTATAATGTATTAGGACTAAATCCATGTCCCTGTTACCCTACACTCACACCTCTCTGGTCTCCCTCTTCCAGATAAGTCTCCTGCTTTCATATCTTAAAAAATACTTTAATTACATGTATGTGTCTGTGGGGACATTTATGCACATGTGTATAAGTACCCATGAGGCCAAAAGAGGGCTCAGGATCTCCCAAAGCTGGAGTTATAGGTATTGTGGGTCTCCTTGTGTGGGTGCAAAAGCAGCAGTCTTTTCATGGCTGAGCAGTATCTCCAGCCCCATCTCATCCTTTTTTTTTTTTTTTGAAGTTATTGCACAGTTTAATGGCAGCAAACATTTGTAACAAATTTACTGTTGAACAACAGGAAAGTCATTAAGTCAAATCAGGAATCCATCAGGAATGAGCCCTTCCTTTCCACAGAAAAGCTCCTGCTCTATAAGCATGCATGTCAGGATCTTCAGGATAGGGCTCTTTGGGACAGGAAGGTAAAGCTGTAACCTCAGCTTCTTGGAATGAGATGCAAGCATGTGGCCCAGAACCCAAAATAGGATTCAGGTCTTGGTGCTTGGGCCATTACTTAGTGGGTACAGACCATCTACAGTCTAGGAAAAGAGGTCTTGAATTCAATCTTTCATTAATCCTGTTCTTAAAAACAAAAGCCAACTCACATTGCTAAAACTTCCAAAAACTTCCCCTAAATACTCTGGAATCAAGGCCAACTTTATAATATGGTCAGGACTACCTCATGACCTAAAAAAGGCTGTCATCCTTCCTACCTTGTGTCTCTTCTACATGCTCTTTTCTCAAAGTAGCCCCTCCATTCATTCTATTCAGCTGTTATTTAACCTTTCAGTCTCATACAATGTTATTTCTTCCTTTACTCCATTTCCAAACCTAGTCTAGGCTTAGTGCTTCTGTGTATCCTTTCATTGCATCTAATATAATCCGTAAAACCAGGTAATGCCAATGTTGTCCCCAGTTAGACTATGAATTCCATGTGCAACATGTTCACTACAAGTCTAACACAAGTATATATTTTTTTCAGTTAAACATGTATTTCATTCTAAAACCCTCCTTCAAAAGGAATGGTTAGGAATGAACATAATAGTCAGAGTCATTACACTTGAAAAACTCCAATAACCCATTTAATCTAGAATGTACCTAGAATAGGGTACATTCTAGAAAAATAGCTTGCATTTTTTCTCCTTACAGGAAAGGTAACTAGCTGTGACCATATAACTGGAACTTAACTGATTTCATTAATACCCGACAGCAGTGGTAGGTGGGTAATGATGCCTGGAAGGTACTTTCATCTACTACAGCACAAGCACACAGACTTGTAACTGGATTCTGGCTCTGCCTCTTCCCAGATGGAGCCACCTGAGGTAGAGACATCTAACCTCTCTGGGCCTCAGGCTCTTCATCAGCAGAAGTTTAATAGTACCATCTCCACAGAGTTTTTGCTAGAATTAAAACATACCCAATGCAAAAGTACACAGCACAGTGCCTGCACATAGAGAATGCTTAGTAACACGAACTGTCATCAGTCCTTCAGATGTCAATGCTATGTTCTCTTCCTAGAGGTACCTTTGGATTTACTAGGTGCAAATCCAAGAAAATTACAGGCTATGGCCTGGGGCCTGCTCTCCAGGGAGCAAATCTCATCCTTAGGACCACTGTGTTTAAGACAGTTTAGCCTCTAGCTTCCCAGAGCATAGCAAAAGCTGTTTCTGCGCCCCCTGGTGGAAGTGAGTGTCCTTGCAGCTGCAGGAGGTGGCATGTTGCAGGGGTTTCTTAAGCAAGGACTGCCTTCCAGTTGCTAAATGGTTGTTGTAGGTGCTGTTGGCTTTGTTTTGAGACAGGGTCTCTTGTATCCCAGGCTGGCCTTGAACTCCTGTTCCTCCTGTTCCACTTCCCAAGTGCTGGGCTTGCAGGCACGCAGCACCATGCCATACTGAGCTGGTGTAAGCTTTCTAGGCTGCTGCTCCTCCCATTGTGGGAACTACAGCTAGTCCTGTAGTGTGACTTCCCACAGGGTACAGTGCTGCCTTATTCCATTGTCTGATTATTTATTACCTGTGCTAACAGTTTTCACATCAGTGGTGGGGAGCTTCCATTAAAGCATTTTTCCTTTCTGAGCTTTGTGGTGCTGGTGATGGTGGGTCCTTGGCCCTTCTTAAATGGACTCCAAAGCACTAAAGAGATTGTGTGTGAAAGACATTGGCCTAAAGCCCAATGTGGCTCAGCTGTACAGGGACACAGCGAGTGGGGGACACAGCAAGTGGGGTAGTTCCCTGGCTGGAAGATAACCCAGCAGCCTAGCAGGGTGGTGCCCACCCTTGAGCTCCTCCTGGGGTTTCCAGCTCCTTTTCTGCCCTCTGTATCACATCAGCTAACCTCCTTATGGACCCCAGGAGTGACCAGAACTTGGTGTCTCCAGGAAGCATCTGCAACTGACCACATGCAGTTCTTATCCATCTTTTCTGGACTTGGTCTGTTTTGTCCCAGTTAGTCCTCACTCTACAAAGAGTACAGAGTCCTGGATGAGCCATAGTGGCTCCTTTCTGCACATCACAGCCCTAATGTTCTTACTGAGGCACACTCACCTCTGTCTCCCCCCACTCTCCCACCTGTCTCTTTCTCTTCCTCTCCCTTCCTCCTTTCTGCCTCCCTCCCTCCCTCTAGACTTCCCTCTATCTCCATCCATCCATTAATCCATCCATCCATCCATCATCTTTATCTCCATGCTCATGACATACAATTCCCTGCGTGGGACTTCTGAGGAAGCTCAGCTCAGAGAGGATCAGCAAGTTCTCTATTCAGGCAGGGACTATTCAGGCAGGGACCTGAGGATTCCTGATAGGATCTTATCAAGCCATAAGTTCAAAGTCAGCCTGGACTACATGACAAAACCCTATGAAGAAGAGGGAGGAAGAGGAGGAAGGAAAAAAACCCACAGCTAGTGAATTAACCTGGCTCTCTTCATGGCCCTTGCAGATGCCAAGGGGACCATTCGGGAAATCGTCCTGCCCAAGGGCCTGGACCTTGACCGGCCCAAGCGGACCCGCACCTCCTTCACAGCAGAACAGCTGTACCGCCTGGAGATGGAGTTCCAGCGCTGCCACTATGTGGTGGGCCGGGAGCGCACAGAGCTGGCCCACCAGTTGAACCTCTCTGAGACCCAGGTGAGAGTCAGGCCTGTCTTCCACCATCTGGTCCTGATATCTGGGGACCGTCTTGGTGTATGAGGCCAAGAGCTGACATAGAGGGCCATGACTTGGGAGGAACTTACACACATAAGGGGAAAACTTAGAGCCACAGGTAAGACAGGGCCAACAGTATCAACAAGAGTACTTTGAGTGATGACACATGCCTCAGGAGGTGGAGGAAGGCAGAGACATAAAGAGTTGGAAGCCAGCCAGCACACAAAATTTAAAAGATAAAGAAAAAATGGAGGAAGGAAAGAAGCAAGGAGGAAAATGGGGGAAGTGGATAGAAGCACTTGCTGGACAAACATAAGGACCTGAGTTTGAATCCCCAGAAGACACATTAAAAACCTGAATGTGAGCACCTGCAATCCCAATGCCCCTATATAGAAATGGAAGACAGAAAAGGAGCATCTCCTCACCCTTCTTGCCACAGGCATTTGCAATACAGTGAAAAGGCAAGGAGACCCCATCTCAAACACTGTGGATGGCAAGGACCAACACCCGAGGGTGTCCTCTGACCTCCATATGCAGGCCATGGCACACACATGCCCATATTCATACACACGAATGATCACATACATACACACAGAAAAGGAAGGAAGGATGAGGAGGGGAAAAGAGTCAAGTTTCAACAGAAGGGATCATTCATAAGTAAGGGAAATGGAAAAGGCCATAGAGATAGGAGACATTCACAGTTCAGGGAATGAATAGCCTAGATGTCTATTCTATGTGTCACTGTTCTATTGCTGTGAGAAGACACCATGAGAACAGGTGAGGTTTAGATGGAAGGAAAGGTAAGAGCCTGATTCAGTAGTCCTTTCCCTCAACTGGCCAAGGGACAGGCTAAGGACAAGCTGCCAAACCCCAGTGCTGGCATAGTCACCAGCTAGCTTAAATAAGTGCTTTCTTTGGCTCTTCAGCAGTTGTTTTCAGTCCCAGTACACTGCCCCTGCCCTAGGAGTCCAAGACAGCAGACTAGAAGGACCTCTCTAGCACAGGGGAAAAAAACAAGCCACCACCCACACTCAGACATCCAGATTCTGTATGAACCCAGGTTCCAGGAAGTGGCCTTTGAAGGATGAATGTCTAGTGCATGCCTATCATCCCTGCATTCAGGAGGCTGAGGCAAGAGGATGCAGAGTTTAAAGCAAGCCTGGGCTTCACAGGGAGACCTTGTCTGATTTCTAAATTATTAATGGTATTTTCATTTTCAAATGAATAAGCCTTAGAACCAGGCACAAACCTCAGACCCAAAGAGATTTCTCACAGGAAAAAAAAAGTCTCTCAGCCCTGGAAACCATGCTTCTCTTCTGCCGTGGGCCTTGTGGCCCAGCAAAATATCAGGACATGAGGCCACCAAGCAGTCCATGAGATCCAGGGGTCCAAGATGGCAACCTGAAGAGAACCTCTGCGGGGCACAAAGGAGCCCAGCAGGGCAGTTAGTGCCCAGGAAACACCCTACAGCAAATGGCTTCCTGGAAGAGCAGAACCTGAAAGGCTTCTTGGAGGAGCAGGGGTGGTTCAGGGGGGTCTGAGCCTGTCTCAATTTCACTGAGCTGAACTAGTTTCTAGAAGCTCTGGGATCGATGATGCGGGACACAGAGGCATGGGTTATGAAGGTGCTCCTCCTGCAGCACATTGGAATCTCCCCCAGGGTTTTCTAGCAATCCCGATACCTGGGCTGGAGAGATGGCTCAGCGGTTAAGAGCACTGGCTGTTCTTCCAGAGGTCCAGAGTTCAACTCCCAGCACCCACATGGCTGCTCACAACTGTAACTCCAGTTCCAGGGAATCTGACACCTTCACACCAATGCACATAAAAAAAGGAAAGAAAAAAGAAATCCTGATGCCTCCATCCTGACCCAACTCTGATAGAGCTCTGGGCACTAGGAGTTACAGTGTACACAGAAAACTTGTGTGCAGCCAGGCATGAGAATCTACACATGACAATAAATGAAATGTCAGGATGAAATATCAGGTCCGAGTCCCAGCCTAGGCTTCTGTCCACATCTAGGGCTTACCTGCTGGGAGTCTCCCATGCCTTCCTCTCTATGAACTCAGGATGTAGTGGGGATCACAGTCTCCAAATTTTGTCATTCTGCATTGGCCATACTTGTCATTGTCACCTGCTTCTGCACAGAATGGTTTGTACCTTTCCCAGCATAGGAGTCACATGATTTTGGAGCCTCTCTCACTTCCTTCTCTCAGAGCCACTCAAGTAGTTGGACTTCTGAGGTCCTATGAAAGCTGGAGACGAAGAGAAAAATCTCTCCAGCCTTGCCCTCAGGGCCTCTGGGCCATGTTCCTTCTCTTCCTCTGTCACATACTGTCCCTGCTCATGCATAAGAAGCACCTATGACAAACTCAGTTGACTGAGCATTGGGCTAGCATGCACAGAGCCCTGGGTTGTGTCCCTGGCAAGGTGTACAACTGGATGTGGTCATATAGGACTAGAATTCAGCACTGTGATCCCAGCAGGAACTTCGCAAGTTTAAGCTCACCCTCAACTACATAGCAAATTCAAGGCCAGTTTGGGATTATGAGACCCCGTCTAAAATACAAATGAATAAGTGGCAGCTGGTTCGATCTCAGTTCAGAGGTCAGGGCCTAAGGCAGTACTGGGAATCACCTACACATAAGTAGGTAAGGAGCAAAGTGTGTTGGCCATGAAGGGGCAATTTGATCCTCCAATGAACCCCCAAACTCCACCTCCTGTCTGTCAATCGGCTCCTGTAGGCCAGAGCAGCAGTGAAAGGGTGTCTATACTTTGAGACTTGAGGTCTCTAGTCAGTTCCTCAGTACAGGCTGTTGTGAGGTGACACTAACAACCTGCTTTTCTTTCTCACCCTGTTCCCCTCACTGCCCCTTTTGCCATTTTACCTTCCCCCCCAACTACCCCTCTCCTTTTCTTCTGGCTCTGCCTCCTGCCCCTCCCCTTTTGCCTTCTGAAATCCTTGTGTTCTCTCTGCCCCAAGGTGAAGGTCTGGTTCCAGAATCGCCGCACCAAACAGAAGAAGGACCAGAGCAGAGACTTGGAGAAGCAGGCATCCTCCTCTGCCTCTGAAGCCTTTGCCACCTCCAGCGTTCTGCGGCTTCTGGAACAGGGCCGGCTGCTCTCCTTTCCCAGGGCCCCCAGTCTCCTGGCACTGACCCCTGGCCTGCCAGGCCTTCCTGCCAGCCATAGGGCCACCTCTTTGGGTGACCCCAGGAACTCCTCCCCAAGCCTCAATCCAATGCCCTCGGCCTCAGCATCATCCCCTCTGTCTGCCATCTGCTTTAACACAGCTCCGCTCTTGGACTTGCCTGCCAGCTACAAACTGGGGTCCTCGGCGTTTGAGCCCTATATCAGGCTAGAACAACAGAAAGTAGGCAGCCCTGGCCAAAGTGGCAAGGCGGCTGACACCTAAGTCCCATCCTGTGTGACACTGAGTCCCCACCCATCACAGCACTCCCCCAGTCTCCTGGCCCCTGTGGACTGAACTGAGCAGGCCTGGAAGAGGAGGGGTGGGCACAGCATGCACCTCTCCACCTACCCTCAGCTCAGAGACTGAACCAATGACTTTGGTCCCAATGTACTCTCTGAGTGCTGCATGAGTGCCTGCCTGTGTGTGTGTGTGTGTGTGTGTGTGTGTGTGTGTGTGTGTGTGTGCACATGTGTGCTTGTGTGCAGGTGTGTCTCACTGAAATAAAGAAGGGACTGGTCCCAGCAGTACCAACTCACTCCCTTCTGTCCTTGTCCTCAATGTGCAGCAAAATGGGAACCTCAAGAGGGGAGGGGTAGGCACTGGGGCTGGTGTCCACAGGCATGGGTCCACCATTAACTTTTATCTAGGCTCCACAGCCCTACATCACCTGAGCTTTCTCTGGTTAAGCATTCTCATATGTAAACTTTTCTTTCAGACTTCAAAATACTTGTTTGGGTGGGCAGTAAGTCCTTCCAGGGGGTGAACGGCACAAGGTAAAAGGAGATCTGAGAGGGCATCAAAGGTGTGCCCGAGCAAGGCTGGCCTGGAGAAAGGATACAACATCAAGCACTCAGAAAAATCTCATTTTTGCTCACTTTGCTTTCATTTAACTTTTATTTGTAATAACTAGAGATTCTCAGGAAATTGTTTACCCACTGTACTCTGACTTTCCTAGTTCCTGTGACAAAGCATGTAGCAGAAGCCAGGTGAGGAAGGAAAGGTTTACCTTAGCTTATTGCTTGAAGGTGCAATCCATCTTGGCGGGAAGGCATAGACTCAGAAGTGAGGCAGTCAGTCACACTGCACCCTCAGTCAGGAAGCTGGAACAAATGCTGGTCCTTAGTGATCATTCTCATTTTCTTCAGTCTGGAACTCCAGCCCAAGGACTGATGTCACCCACATTCAGGGTGGGTCTTCCTCCTTAGTAAAAACTAGGGAAATGTCCTGACAGATATGCCTAAAGGTATGTAGAGTAGAGGTGACTCTAAACCCCACTGTGGTGACAATAGCGGTTCTCCATCATCACTTGCCTCTGCTAACTTGGCACATATATGTCACTTTTAATCAACAGTATTCCACCCCTCATCTCTAGATGCTCATGTTCATCTCACAGTGTGAAATGTCTTTAGTCTATCTCCAAAAGTTCCCAAATCTTCACAATTCCACAGTTCTTCAAAAGTGTAGAGATTCAAATTCTTAACAGGAGACTATTTTTTGAAAATTAAACCTTTTCAATACACGATGGCACAGAATAAATGTTCCCATTCCAAAAGGGATGAATGGGACATAGCAAGGAAAGAATGAGCCAAAGCAAGACCAGAATCCAGCAAGGGTAAATACAAACCTTGTAGCTCTGGCATCTGGGACCAGGTATCCGGCAGATTATGGAGATACCAATGAATGGCCTTGATAGCTGGCTCTCAGTTCTGCCACTTAGAGCATGTGTTAAGCAGCTGTCTTGAGCTAACCCCACGCCGTGCTCACAGCTTTCCTCAACAGGTGTTCATGGCACTATCATCTCAATTACAACTTAAGCTCTGCCCTTAGAGCTTCACGCAATAGCTTCTCAGGCCTCCTCGAAGGGGATTAAACCTGCTACACATGATGTGGCCTCAACTGCTTTCTAGAACCGTGGTGCAAATCCCCATGGCCCTGTAACTGTGCTCTTCAGCAGTCAAATGTCCCTAACCTCTCTAACAGCTGCCACTGCTTCCAATCCTGCTTTGACTGTAATGTTAAACTCCCTCTTTTGACAAACTGTACACTTGTCATATCTTTGCTCTGCATGAATGCTGCTCCCTCTCACTGTAGGCCTGCATGAAATTGATGAGCTACAGCCTGAATGCTGTCCTGCTGTTTCAATTATGTTTCTATTGCTGTGATAAGATACCACAACTAAAGCGATTTACAGAGGAGTTTTTTGGGGGCTCATAGTTGCAGAGTTAGAGTCATGACCATCATGGCAGAGTGCATGGTAGCAGGCAGGCACAATGCTAGGGCAGCAGCTGAAAGCTCATACACAGATCCACAAATAAGAAGAAGCAGAGAGACAGTACTGGGAATGGGGCAAGTCTTTTGAAACCTCAAAGCCCAGGCCCAGTGACACACCTCCTCTAACTAGGCCACACCTCCTAACCTTTCCTAATTCTATCAGCTAGGGACCTAGTACCCAAACATAAGATTACAGGAGCCAGTCTCATTCAAACCACCATCCCTGCCATGAGATTTCCTCTGCCAAACAGATCAGTCCATTACTTCTAAGTTCAGTCTCACTCAAATTCTGAGGATACAGGCAAAATAAATTCATATTCATTTCCAGAATAAAAAATGAATCACTTCTAGGCCATTTCATCATAAAGGCCTTGTTCCCCTCTGAAACTTCATGCGCTGGCTTCAACTGTCCATATATCTCTCAGCATTCCAGTCTTCCACCAGAATGGCCAGTTTCACTCTTCTTAGACCATTCTAGGGCTTCACTAGACTGCATCTGGAAAACTCATCCACATTCCTCTCACAAACCACTTGCAGAGGCCTAAAAACCACATGGCCAGGTTTGTAGCAACAAGTCTACTCCTGGGGCCAGTGTTATGTGTGGTTACATTTTCATTGCTATGACAAGGTACCTGCGAAGAATAAGTTTATTTTGGTTCATGGTTTGAGATTGCACTATGGTAGGAAAGGCATGGTGGTGGCAGGAGTTGGGAGGGCTGTATATATTTCCTATATGTCAAACTGGCAGTCACAAGTAATTACCCACAATTGTAGCATTTTTTAATATGTAGCATATATCACATAGAAAAGTAACACTGGTACCATGGAGGAAAGCTCACATCATCTCACCTGCTGTGGAAGCACCCAGCCCCCAACAGAAGAGTTCTTTGACAGAATGGGATTCACGAGAGAGGAACAGAGATCTGAAATGGACCAATGCTGGAGGGAGTGAGCAGGGAAGACAGCTCAGACTGATCCGAAGAACACAGTAGCTTCTTGCAGGAGGTGACCTGTAACTGGCCAGGAGATGAACCTTTTAAGACAATGAGGTGATAGAATGGAGAGGGAGGGGTATCCAGTATGGCTCAAGACAAAGGGAATAGATTGTGAGGAGGGTGAGAAGACAACCTGCTAGAAATAGAGCATAAGGAAACCAAGGAGTGTCAAAGTGAGGGACAAGGACTTGTTGAAAGTAGGTAAAGCTGAAGCCACATTCACTGCAGGAATTGTGCAGAGGGACTTCTGGATATAGAAGTTAGAAAAAGAAAATGTTGTGCACCTTGCTCTGTCCTTCATTGCAAGCTTTCAGCACTTGGGGCCAGCCACTACAGGATCTGCTCAGTCTTTACAGGTGCCAGCTTCCCTGTTTACAGTCAACCTGGCAGAGGCGGGGAGCAGGGACAGAAGGAAGGGGAGGGGTGGTTGCTGCCAGAAGCTGGGCAGTCTGCTCCAGCTCCAGCTGGAACTGAAATCTTGGAGTTAGCACCAGCCTTCACAGGCACTGAATCCCAGCTCTCCACACACCATGGCCGCGAAAGTAGACAACAAGTCTGGGGGATTCACTAGCAATAGCTGTGACCCTGTCACAGCTCGAGAGCATGTGCAGGCTGTGACCCGAAACTATATCACCCACCCTCGTGTCTGTGAGTATTCACACCCAGCTGGTGAGGGGAGTGGGTTGCTGGGAATCTGCTTTTGCCTTTGAAAAGGATGGCCAAGACTTGGGGAGCTCAGGAGCCTCTGGGTCCATTGGAGCCATGCAGTGGCACAGGCTGTGCATGGGCCACCTCTGCAGGTGGAGGGATGGAAATCCATTCAGGCTGAGGAGAGGGCTGAGTAGCAACTGTTATCGTCAGGATCCTATCTAACACCCAAGGTCCAGTGAGAGCTTGAGAGAGACAGAGTCAGTAGAGAGGGAGAGAGGGAACAAAAACATATGTGGGCATGTATGAGTGGGTAAATGGATCTGCAGTGACATATGTAGCAGTATCTTCAGTGGGCACTTGCCTTGAGGAATTCAGTAACCAGTGTGTTGTGCCTGAATCACCTCCTAGGGAAGAGAATCTGTATATAGAAGTGTGTACTAGAAGGGCATTCTCCACGGGGAGGGCAAAACATGCAACTGTGTGTGTGTGTGTGTAGGCTTGTACACTCAGGGTGGAGGTGTGGTATGTGTATGTGTGCTCTTGGATATAATGTGCATGTGTGTTCAAGGAGAGAGAACATGTTGGATTTATGCTTACATGATATATGAGAACACAGTTAACTGTGGTAATGTGTGTATACTGCTGGGGTAGGAACATGCACTTGTTCACACATGGTGTGCCTTTCTCATTTTGTCAGTGGGCAATACTGTACCTGATCTGTAAGGGTGAGCCAAGTCAATGCCAAAGCCACCCCCTATGTTCTTGTCCAAATCACTCTTCCTGGTCCTATAAAGTCTCAGGCAGCCCAGCTCACTGGAGTAAACCAGCCTGAGTGGCCCCAGTCAAGCAGAGCCTAAGGCTCCTAACAGGGGGTGATGGGTGATGGGAAGGAACTAGACACAGCCATCCTTCTTCACTTGAATCCAAAGCTACCCAGCCCCACAGGGCATCCAACAGCTGATATGGGACCAGCTAAGTCTGAGACCCACAGAGTGTGCACCAGCTAGGGAGGAAAGTGAAAAGGAGCAGACCCTGCCTCATGGACATACAGAATCTAGAGAAAACCTTCAGGCAAAGGCTTGAGTCACCATGACCCCAGAAATCAGTGGAGAGAGGGACCTTATTATGTCCAGGGTTTGGGCCATGTGATACCTTGCCCCTGCAGGCCCAACCACCTGTGGGCAAAGGAGAGCTGCCAGGTTGGGTGGGACAGGAGTCTGGACCTCCAGGCTCAGCTTTCCTTCTGGAATGTGGATTTGCAGGGATCTACAAGGATCTCCTGACACAGCCTTTGTGCAGCCTCCCCTCACCCCATCTTTCTTCCAGAT